TTATTTCACAGCATTCATGACTTTTTTTAAGAGTTTTTTTAATATGGTGTGTGTGCTCACTGGAGAGACAAAGAGAGACAGAGAGACAGAAAGCTAGACATCACTCCCAATGGGGGAATAGCTATGCTGCAATCCTTTCTCCTCCATTCTCTTCTTGGGATTTTGGACACACTTGCACATGCACCTGATGTGAGTTTTAACCTGCCAGGTCCGGGACTCAAACCATGATCAGCCATGTGGGAGTTCACCACCTTAACCACTATGCTACCTACTGGCTCCACAATCGTGACTTTTTATTGTAAGCGCATGTCCCTCAGGATTTTAACCGTGAGGATTATTTTAGAATTACAATTAAAAATGTCTAAAAAGATTAAAATTTATTTTGCTGTGTGTCTGGGAACACCACTGACTAGAAGTACCTTAAATAAAATTTTCAACTAGCATTATTTCATTATCAATACGTATTAAGAATTCAGGGCCCAAACCTAAGTAACTGAAATTGTGATTAAGTATTCCTAAGAAAAACCTTCTGTTTCTTTTTCAGAAATAAGCTTTAAATATACACGTCTCCTTGTTTGGGCCCATCCCACCTTACACCAGGTGACACAGTCAATGTCACCTGTCTGTTGTTTCAGATTTATGCTGGTGTCTTCCATTTGTTCTACTCTGCCTAGGGCCTAGGCTTCATCTCTTAACCTTCACCAACTCACATGTATCCTTTTAATTTATACTTTGCTTTTTTGTTTTTCAAATCTATTTAACCACCAGTATACTCACACTGTGAAATTTCTGTTTTATTTAACCATTTAAAAAATCATGTATTAAATGTCTTTTTTTTTTTGCACTTCTGGCTCATCACATGCTTTTTAATTTTACAACGGCTTTCCTTATAATCATAGACCCTTGAGAATTTAACTACAAAAAACAGTGGATCATTTTCAATTCAAAAATATGTAAAAGATAGATTATTTGGTACCAGGAATTTTACTCTGCAAGAGGAGGCTGACATCTCTCATTTTCTACTTGTTACAGAAATGATAATGCCTTCCTCAACAGCAGGCATGACACATATCTGGCTGCTTGTGACCATTACTTTCTATTCTTTCATTCACTTCATACCCTTTCCCAGGGAGACAAGAGTACTTCAAATGTTTCTTTAAAATGATTGGAACGGTTTGATAAAGTATGCTATGTATATTAGGCCTCAGTTCTTGTCAATGACACATGGAAACATTCTCCTCATCACATTATTCCCTGGTGTCAAAGGCAACTTATTTATGAACAGTAGCTTACTCTATTCAGAAGTTTCCAGGAGAAAAAAGATATTAGTGAATATATAGAGAAAATCCAAAGTATTTCTTAAATATAGGTAATACAATGAAATACACATGCAATTAATATTCTTCAATTACTTTAAACATATACCTTGGCTCTTCCCCTCCAATTCTATCTTTTTAAGGGAGATTTTTGCTATATGGTATGTGCACTTGCCAGAAAGAGAGAGATAGAGAGACAGAAAATAAGAAATAACCCCCCCCCAGGGGGGCTGGCCATGCCACAATTGCTTCTCCTCCATTCTCCTCTCAGGATATTGGGCACACACACACACACACACATGTACCTGGCATGACAGTTAAAAGTCACTGGGTCCAGGATGCAAACCATGGTCAACGATGTGGGAGTCGAGCTATGTAATTATTATGCCATATGCTAGTCTCAATTTTTTATTTTTATTATTATTATTATTTTTTTTATAAAGAGCTGGTGTAGCTCTCCTGGAGGCAGGCATCTATATCTTAGGATAAAGTACCAATTTTTGCAATAGTTCTTCAATTGAGAAACTGCTTGTTATTAGAAATTTTGCATGTGTTCCTTCCATTATGCCAACAAATGAAAAAATAGAATACTTCAGCAGGTAAAAGGAACCTTATTGAAATGTTCTACATTGAAAGTTAAAATATTCAAAGTACATAACATCTTAGATTTAATTAATATCTGATCAGTGTCCTAATATCTGTACTTTTAGAGAATTTTTTTTAACAAATGACTTCAATTATCTTAAAAAATGTGACCAAATTGAGATTCTCAGAAGCCGAAAGACAAGCAGAAGTGTCAACAAGAACAAAATTGAACGAACAGCAGGGTTGTATTTAAAGTGAAGGACTGTTCAGTATGAGCCGTAAGGACACGTCTGAGAGAGAGCAAACAGGTAAAGCTGAGAATCCCCTTTGCCTTAAATCCAGCACAGCACAGCCAAACAGCATGGCCATCTGAATGCACCTCTGAGACAAACAGCTTTCACACTTAGCATCTGATGATTCTGAAACAGCAAGAAGGCTACGGTGTTACCCATTTCTGGGTAGTCACCTGTCCTAAATCGGGCACTATTTATGCATTTATAGATCATCCATCCATTTATCAAATATTTATTGAGGACTTACTATGTGTCAGACACTCACTCTGGCAGAATTGGGGAAACGATCCTGAACAAGAGAGGTAAAACCTGTTCACCGATGAAGAAAAACAAGCCCTTACTGTTTAAGATTGTGTTAGTTGGTTTCTGGGTTCTCATTGGTGAATGCAATGCACATTGAATTGCTTAGTACACCTGATCATCATCATTACTTCTTCTGAAGTCACTTAGTAATATAGAAAGGCAGGTGCAATGCGAAACCTGAGTGTACTTAACACCACCAACCTGCTCCTGAGTGCTAAAACTACCAAGAAATACCACTGTATGTGAATCTTGACTTGTATCACCCTGGAGGTAATGTGAAAAGCCTTGCCCATCAGCTGTGAAATTCTCAAGACAGCTTCGAAGTGCCTACGTTTTAGAAATTGAAATTCAAATGCCCCCATTCTCTGAAAACCGATCAGGTTTCTGCATGATGAATAACCCCATGTCAACCATCATTTCAAAGCAAATCTGGGACACTCTACAAGACATAAACAAAAATAACTGCACTGGGCCCTGTGCCTGGGAAAACAAGGGACATATTATCCTCCACTGATTTGAACAGAAAACCAAATTAGCATAATGAATGAACTGCTGTGAAAAAAGTGTGGACAATGGAGACATGCAACTGAGTGCAGAGGTAAGGGACTTCCAAAAGAAGTGAGTCACAGTTGCATCGTTAGAGGTTCTTTAATAAAATGCATTAATAAGAAGCATTTTCTCAATGTGTATTATGTGCAGGGCACTTAGGAAGGGCAAAGTTGTACGAAGCACCATGCCAACTCCCAGCCCCGTAATGGTTTGGGGAAGGCAAACGACACACGTGTGATACATCAGTGCAAGGAGAGTCAGACGGCGAGGCAAGCACCAAGGCCTAGAGCGCTCTGACGGAGGCACGTTTGCTACGAGCTGATGGCGCAGAAAAGAAGTGCAATTTTTATGGTGAACAAGGGCAACAAATTCGAAATAAGAGAAAATTCGAGAATCAAGGCAAGAGAAAGAGTG